CAAGGGTCAGGGTTCCCTATGCACACTCACACCAAGACAGTTGCCAGGATTTGCCCAACAGGAAGCTTCTCCCCTGCCAGGGCCAAGGTCCATTCCAGGCAATCCATCTCCCCTCCAGAAAAATGAAAATTGAAGCCAGATGCCCTCGGGGTCTCCATTTGAGATGGGTGTGGCTATAAAGGCACTCGGAAAGACCCTCACTCCCATACCCCTAAGAGTTCTCTGTGGGCTCCATGGAGCCCCCACCCCTCCCACAGACAGTCCCGAGGGTCCCAGGTGGCCTCCTGTCTACTGGCTGGGTCCCAGGTGGGGGCCTCAAGAAGTCTCCAAGGCAAAGGGTATTGCATGCTCTGAGTCCCAGGAAAGAGGGACTCCTGGGGTTGGGGGTGGGGACCCAGCAGGCCCCAAGGATCATGTGGGGGAGGCAAGACCAAAGTCAGCACTTAACCCAGAATGTCCCAAGGGTGTGGGTGGGGAGGGTCCACACCCCAAAACCCTACAATTCCTTCTCACAGCATTGCTGTGGAGTGAGAAGAGGGATTTCACCCTCATAGGGGTCTCTGTCCACCAAGGCCCCTGACTGCCAGGGAACCCACACCCACAGTTCTCTTCTTTCTGAATGCTGGCCCTTCCACAGCCTGGATGCCTGAGCCTGGGCAGAGGGGTAACGACCCCAGGACTGTCTTTGTAAGCAGAGAGGCTACTTGCCACCAGGCTCTGATTCCTTGGGTTGAGCTCAGCAGCAAGCATGTCACCAAGGCCCCCTGGACAGAAGGGGCTCAGCCCTGAGGACCCAGCACTCCCCACACCTGCATTTCCCTGCTGGGCATCCACCCTGGGGACCCAGCTTTCTCCCTGCCCCCAGCTGCTGGCAGCCCCATCTTGACTCATCCAGGGTCCCTGAGGCCACACCAGGAAGCAGCCTGCAGCTGGGAGGAGTGGGTGGCCCCTCCCCTCTCAGAGTGGGTGGGGACAGGAGTTGCAGGGGCAGCTATTTTTGGGATGCCACAGGTCTGTCTGGACTCGCTGCCTGGCCACGCCTACTTTCCCTTTCATCTTTTTCATTGACCAATGGGCTTGGAGCATGAAGGCCACACCCCTATTCTACATTCTAGTGTGGCCCTGGTTATGCCTCCTCTGGCTTAGACACAGAGCCGCCTGGTAGGGGAGTGGAGCTGCTTAGTAGTGCTCCCTTGAATTGTGCTGATGTGACCCCAACCCCACCTCCCTCCCCAACCCCACCTCCCTCCCCAACCCCACCAACCTCCCCCACCCACTATGGGGATGTTAGAAGAAATTCGCAAGATGAAATTAGCCTCAGCTAGGAAAAAGGTAACATGCACAGAGATCCCCTCTGGTGGCAAGACTGCTGCCAGAGTCCATAACACTTCTGAGACACACCAGACTGGGTGGGCCCCCAACCCCGGTGTCTCTGGGCTCCCCCTACCAACATCTTCTCAGTCAGCCCCACCCTTTCAGCAAGGAGCCCAGCCCCTACCCTTGCCAATCACCCCAGGGTGACTTTGGATTTGTAACCCCTGAGGCTCCCTGCTTTCTACTTGGGCCTCATCTTTTGCTGCCCCATGTCTGACCTCCCTGGGCTCTGTGGACTCATGTCTCTGAGGACCTGGGTCTCCCAGACCCTGCCCTCACCAGTCATTTCTGGGTGACTTTGGGCTGGTGACTCCTGGGAATCCCTGCTGCAGACTCTGCCCTCCCCTCCTGCTCCCCCTGAGTGACTTCCCTGTGATCTTTGGGCTGGCGTCTCCAAGGACCTGGGTCCCAGCCCTGCATCCCCCTCCCCCATCATGGAGCAGTGACTCAGGCATCTCCTTGGTGTGGTCCCCTCCCCCAGGAGGAGTGGAATGTAGTGATGTCACAGTCCCCATAGGAACTGTCAGTACTGCTACAAGACCAGACTTCGATCTTAGGACCCAGTCCCCTAAGCATTATCATCCCATTTCTGGCTCCTCTTGTCCCAGCACAAATTTCCAGCTGGAAGGGGAATGGGGACTGTGGGACCTAGGAGCAAGAGGTTTCAGGCTGCCTCACTCCCTTAACATAGACATTGACAGTGTGGAAAGCCTACACTTCCCCTGTGAGTTCAAAACATTGACAGTGTCTCTGGGTGGCAATGGGAGAATGGGTTTGATTTGGTTTTCTCTCAGGCTTCTGCTCTCCAGAGAGACTTTCACTTTTCTTTCTGAGTTCTCCACCTCATCTTCAAATTCTCCATGGTTCTGGGACCAGACTGCCCTTCAGTCAGTGGCCTCTGGAGTGAGATCTGCTCGTCTTCCGTGGAACACATCTTGGGAAATTGAAACTGACAGCTTGAATCTTCCTCATATCATCTCAACCTGGGTTACTTTGAATGCCATGGGATAAACATGGGACATCTTTCTGAAGCATCAGTTTCCCTTGAGTCTCTTGAGACAGCAAAAACTTTATTGTACTTAGGGATGACAGTCACATAGGTTTCTAAAAGTATACCAGACTTCTCTCTGAAATGAGACTTGGGTTGTCCTCTTTCTGATGAATTCCCAGATTTAACAGAAAGGCTGCCTTCTGCCATGAGGACACATTGATATAAAAGTGTGAGAGGTGCTGGTGCTCTTCTTAACACTAACAGTCATGTGATGCTGTGTGACTCTAAACCACATGGCGTACAGTTCCTGCCTACTTAATAGTGACTTTTCTACCTCTGCCTGTGGTTTTGGTCTCTGGCAGTTGCTGATTCGTGGCAAAACCCCAGAGCTTGTAGTCAGAGGAATGAGTTTAATGTCTAGTATTGCTTTTTCTTTTTCTTTTTTATTTCCTTTTTGTTTTTGCTATGATATCAATCTCTCTCAGTCACTAAGTGATTGTGACAACACCTTATAGAGTTGTTGGTGGCATTAAATCAGATGGTGTGTAACAGTATTTTGTAAAAACTGTAATGTAGGTTGTGACTGTAGGGGTTTGCAGTTCTCATGGGTATTACTGCTCTTTTTCCCACAGTTAAAAGAATTTCAACAAAGAAACAGCCCTGCTGTTTCATCACGAGTGAGAAGAAGGAAGAAAAGAAACAACAATGGCCCTGAGACAGCCGCTTCTGATGGTTGCCAGTCACCATGCCATGTGAGTCTTGGCTGGCCAGGCTTCTGGGGAAAAGGGGTCCAAGGGGCAGTAGAGGGCAATTGTTAAGATTGTAGAAGAACTTCTGGGTACTGGTTAGGAATTCTGGTTTGAATCCTGCCTCTCCATCTGCTAGGGATATGATTTAGGGCAAGTTGCTGGAGCTCTTTGGGCCTCTCCTTTCACATCTGTAAAATATAGGTGGTATTGCCTGACTTCCATTTGTGAAGGTGAAATGAGATTCGTTATTGCTGTTGTTTTTTTGTTAATCCTTAGTACATGGCCCACTGTAAACACCCAGGAAATGGTCCTTGCTGTTTGGTTTTCCTCATCCCCAGTCTCAAGGGGAAGCCAGACCAATGAGAACAGCCTTTTGCTGTCAGGCTGTCCCTTTAGGAGTCACAGAAAGGGCCCCAGGGTGGGATGGTGGGAGATAAGAACCATGAGAGGAGCTGGTACAGAGGAGTCATGGGACAAAGGGTCTGAGAGGCAGAACAGAAAATGCTGCCAGCTGATGGGGAGGAAAGGAAGCCAGAGGCTTGGACACTGAGGGGACAGAACATCTCCATGTGCACTCTCATCTCTTGTAGTCAGTAGCAGGTGGTCACAAGGGGGGCCCTGCACCATGTGCCCCCATGAAAGATCCAGAGGTAAGAGGCCCTGAGCTGAGGTAGAGTGACCCTGCAGGCCAGCCCTCCACCCTCCTCCCACAGTGGTGGCTGTGTGCCCCTCTGCCAGCCAAGACAGCCCCACACACCCCAACCTAATGATTTTCTCTCTACCTCTCCCCCGATCGTCCTCCAACTCCTCCTCTTTGCGTGTGCCTCAGAGCGCACACCAACTACTAATAGCCCTGGACTCGAGCTCCATCACAACCAGTGAACTGAGTAACACCATCGACTTAGTGGCAAGAGTCCGGTGGGGTCCTCTGATTGCACGCTGCCAATCCTGGGCTCCAGTTTCCCCTTGGGGCTGCTGTGAGTGAGTTGAGGGGTGCTATGGGGAGCCAGCACTGGATGCAGAGCTCAGAGGCCAAATGTGCTCCCTGCCCTTACCTGGCTGTGGCCTTGGCCAAGTCCTAGGTGAGGGACTGGGTGCTTGGACTGTGAAGGTACAGAAGAGTGGCTTTAGTATGTTACCATTTGTGTAGAGAGAGGAAAAGTGTGTGTGTATGTGTGTGTGTGTGTGCGCGTGCGTGCGTATACACGCTATGATAATATACATAAAACATGTCTACAAGGATTTGTAAAAAACTCAGGAGAGAGCACAGGTGGCTGGGAGATACTTCCCTTCTGTACCTTCTCAGTTTTGGACTATGAGAATGTATCATTTTTTCAAAAAGTGAACAAAAGATTCATTTCCCCCTTCCTGCCTGTGCTCCCACCCCCAGCAGGAAAAAAAATGGACTTAGAGGATCAGATGGACCTGGGTGTTCAAATCCCAGCTCTGTCTAAGTGATCGTAGGCAACCACCTAACCTCTAATGCTCCATGTTTTCCATCTACACAATAGAGGTAACGGTAGTAACTGCCTCACATGGTGGTTGTGAGGTTAAATGGGATTGTTAGCATGCTACCTGGTGACCCACTCAATCAAGGTTCCAACGGTGGTAGTAATAACAAGAATAACAATAGAATATGATCTGATCTCTCTGGGTCTCTGTTAGCCAGCTGTAAATGTGACCTCTTTCCTGTGCCTTCCAAATTTACTGAGTTATTTTAAAATCCAGACCATGGCCTTGATCTTTACTGACCAAGTTGTGTATTAAGCCCAGCTCTATCCCTTTAAAGGGGCACTGTGTGGAATGGCCCAGGCTCTCCAGATTGAAGCTTCTCCCTCTTCACCATCCAGCCCTCAAGCTGCTGTGAAGCAGTCCTTGAGCAGCAGTTTCTACAGGAGTGGGAACTGCTAAAAGCACAGGTGGCAGAGGTGAGACTTTGCAGAGGGAGGGATGTGGAAGGAAAATGACCCCAGGTGGCCAGGAGAAGGTGAGGACCAGTGACAGCCCTTCCTAACTTCTGGGTCCATTCTTGCAGGTGACGGAGTGTCTTAAGAAAGCTCAGCTAGAAAGAGACGCATACGCTCAACAACTCAGAACAAAGAGGGCATGGTGGCAGCAGCAAATGCTGAAAATGGCAGGAGAAGTGAGAGCTGACTCTCCAGCCCCCCCTACCTTAGATAGCTCACTGGATCATCCTGGGCATCTGTAAAAAGAATTGTCCAGCCAGGGGTGGTCATGGGACTGGGCTTTATGGAGCTGGGGGCAGAGGTAGATGGTAGCCTGGCCAGCCACTGGCCCCTCTCTCCAGGGCCCTTTCCCCCTGTGCTTTGGGCAGGTGGAAATATTCAAAATGGAGAAAAGGCAGGATGCAATTAAAATCGAGGAGCTGAAGGGGAGCCTTGCCCACCTACAAAACCATCCGGGTAAGATTAGGCTGGTGTGACCCGGGAGCAGGACTGGCATCAGAGGGCTGTGGGGGTGGCTTAGAGTGCCCCAGGGAGGTGGGAGGCTGGAAGGGCTTTGAGGCAGAGGGAAAGAGGTCTGTGCCAGGAGATGGCAAGTCTTGTAATCTCCATGAGCCTCAGTGTCCCCATCAGCAAAGAAGGAGGGTGCCTGTTGTCAGCCACCCACAGTGCTCTCTATCTGAAAGGGGCTTGGAATACTGGCTACCATTTGGGTGAGAGGAATCATTAGCAGTGAGGCCAGGTTTGGGGAATCTGAGAGGAGCTGTGCACCCAGAAGAGTGTTTTTGTTTTTTTTTTTGTTTTGTTTTGTTTTGTTTTATTGAGAATCCAGAGACCCTTATTGTCTGCTTCCTTTCTCAGCTGAACCCCCAATCCTGAAGCCCCCAGCAGGGCCCTCTGACTTGGAGAAGAACCTAGAAACTGAAACCAAGTACCTAAGAGACAAGCTGCGGGAACAGGAGAGACTGCAGGAGGCAAAAATGAGGCTCTGGGAGCAGTAGGTGAGGCTGAGAGAACAGGGGGAGAGGCTTCTTGAGCAGGAGGGGCTCCAGGAGCAGGAGGAGCTGATGTGCTGCCCACCTGGGGAGGCTGCCCTCCTCCCCAGCCCTCCAGACCTTTGTTTTCCCACCTGTAAAATGGGGGAGGGTATGAAATGGGGCTTCTAAAGGCAGCTGTGAGCCAGATCCCTGCTCTCATGGCTGTGGGAGAAAGGAGACAATTTCTCTAACCTCCACCCTTCCCGGTGGGGTCAAGTCCTGGGGTCACGAGCTGCAGTGGGTGGCTGCTGATTGCTTCTCTCTGTCTAGCAGAATGAGAACAGGAGCGCACTGCATTTGGAGCAGGGAGGAAAGGAGCTGCAGGAGAAGCTTGATGAACAGGAGACGGTAACCTCTGCCCCACCCAGGAGGGCTGGGAGGCAGGCACTGGCCTCTGGGGAGGGGAGGTGCAAGGCCAAAAGCAGCTCCACCTTGGGGCAGGTGACCCCACATGCTCCAGGGCAGCCCTGCAACTGTTTCTTGCTTCCTGCCCTCTGACTTTTAGAGGTGGGTAGGCCTGGGATCCTCCCAGATCTGGACATCATCATCTCAGCTCTAGGCATGGAGCCCCCCAGTCATAGGGCAAGAGACAGTGGTGTGAGAGGCTCTTCATGCTGGGTGCAGTGGCTCACACCTGTAATCCCAGCACTTTGGGAGGCTAAGGCAGGAGAATCACTTAAGATCAGGAGTTTGAGACCTGCCTGGCCAACATGGCGAAACCTCATCTCTACTAAAATTACAGCAACAACCACAACAACAAAGCTGGGCATGGTGGTGCACACCAGTAACCCCAGCTACTCAGAGGGCTGAGGCATGAGCATCACTTGAGCCCGGGAGCTGGAGGTTGTGGTGAGCTGAGTTTGCACCACGACTCTCCAGCCTGGGCCACAGAGTGACACTCTGTCTCAGAACAAAACAAATCAAAACAAAACAAAACAAAACGAAAGTCTCCCTAGATCCAAACTGGATTCCGGCCTTGATTCCACTGGTCACCATTCGACTACTTTGCATCTGTCAGTCTCTGTTTCTTTAACTTCCAAAGGAAGTTAGCATTTTCCTTGAATGGGTGCTGAGGATTAAATGAGATGATGCATGGAAAGCATTAGGCATGTAGCACACTTGGTAGATGGTGGTCGGCTCTCTCTGCTTATCCACCAGTCAGTGGCCTACAGTTTAAATGGTGGAAAGAAGGACGTGAGATTTGAGGCTGGGGAAGGAGGCATGGGGTTCTAGACAAGGGAGGCGGTCTCTCAGGCTGGAGCCCGGGGCCGGGTGCCTGGGCAGGCCACCTTCCTCTGTGGTCCCTCCCAGACCCCCTTATGCTCTTGGTTTCCCCACCTTCGGATTCCTCTGGACCTTCACCCCTTCTGGGAGCCGGTGGTCAGACACCTGACAGGTGCACTCTCTGAGGCCCCAAGGGAAGGGACTGCACTCCACATCCCTGCCCTGTCTGTCCTGTGTATGCCCCTACAAGAATGCTCCCCTCTTGCCTTCAGGTGCCATTTCTGAACCCTGCTGGAGCCGGTGCCCAGGAGGAGCAGGCACGGCTCTGTGAGCAGCTCCAGAAACAACAGGTGTGTTGCCAGCACCTGGCTCACCTGGAGGCCTCGGCCCTGAGGCAGCGGCCGCGGCCACAGGGACTGGGAGCGAGTGTGGGTGTGGGGAGACCCAGTGGGCCCTGCAGGGCACCATAGACAAGCTGCAGGTGAGTGAGTCCTGGCAGGGGCCAAGAAGGGTGGGGGTGGGGCAGGTCACCGCCAAGATGTAACCCCATTATTTTGGCCCCAGAGAGACTTCAATGACATTGTGAAGGAGAATGCAGACCTCAAGGAGCGCATGGAAAAACTAGAACTCGGACTCATCCAGCTCTCTGGAGAGAGACATGATAAGTGAGCAAGAGGCCAGGGCAGGGCAGGGGGATCTGCTGGGTGGTGGGAGGGGCCCCAGCCTCTGAGCCTGTCCTCCTGCAGGAAAGTCCATCAAACCAAATGACCGTCAGAGGGCAGTGGCCAAGACCCAGCACCAGAAGAAGAACGATGTTAGCATGCTGTCCCAGGCCGAGGAGGGGATGAAGGTAAGGTGTACAACATCTCTACTGGGGTTAGGGGGATGCGGGTGGGTGTGAGCATGGGTGCCGACACTGGTGTGGCAGCTGAGCACCCCTATCTCCAGGTGAAGCTGCTGGAGCTGCAGGGGCCAGTGATGCAGCTTATGATCGACCACAAGGTCCAGCACCCTGCTAATGAGTCCACTTCAGGGGCCCCAGCCCCCCCAGGAACTTGGTGCTGCTGACAAGGATGGTGAACCAAGCCCTCAGGCAGGGTCGGCAGGCAGGAGCAGGGGAGGCTGGCACTGGGCTCAGATCCCCACCTCCCTCTCTCCAAAGAATTTTATGAAATGAGCCTGGACGATGACAGCGACAGCCTGGAGCCTGCAGGAGGGAGGGTACACCACAACCCCACTGCACAGCAGATGGCTCATGGCTTTGTGAGCTACGGGACGGCCAGCAACACCGACCCTTGGGCAGCAGTCCCTCTATGCTATGCTTTTACCGGGCTGCGGCGAAGGAGGAAGTAAACATCACCAACAGCTAAGAGCTGCCCAAGAAATTTACAAAGGAACAAAGTTATAGGGTTAATCTTCTACATGTTACTTTATTTGAATGTTAGAGCCACTCATGATGATTTGTGTTTCTAATTTATAGTTTATTTGTAAAAAGTTAAAGGAGAGTGGGTCTTCGTGTGGCTTTCACTGATGTTCACTCTGGCATCCTTTAGCATTTTTCATTTTTAATTTGATAATCATAGGTCATTAGCATGCCTATCGAGTTTGCCCTTTTGTGGTGGGAGTTCAAACACACAAAGACCCACTACTGACACAAAACCATTCTCACTAGTTTGGAATAGGCTGCCATGGTTTTTAATGTTATTGCAGCATGTATATTCATTATGGAATTCAGATGTAATTTGCTTATGTTCTGCTATGATGTTTGATGGAATCCTGATCACACTGAGCTCTTAATTAGCTCAATGTGTGCTTTGTCCTCACATGCACACTGTTTATTACTTTGTAAGATGTCACTGTGGGTACTGACATTTAGAGTTGTTGAAAAGCCGAGAACTGGAAACAGCCTTTCTTCCATTTTCTGTGTATTGCAAATGGGAGTAATAACATTTTTGGGAGCTTTTAAAATCTCACAGAAGAGGAAAGTGGCCTGCTCTGGCAGGTATGTGCAGAATAGAGTATTTCATTGGTTCCTGTGCCAAGAACGAGCACTGTGCATGGCAGTTCTTTTGGGGTTTTTCTGTGCCCTGGGCTCGTGAATATACTGCACCATGAGCTGCGGCAGCTATACTCTTTTTTGATGACCTAAAAAGGGATGATTTCTGAAGAATAAAAGGCTCCCATCTTTGACAGTGGTTGTGGAAAACCTTTCCTAGTTTAGAGCATTTATATCTATAATATGTTGTAAAGTCAGAGTTCACGTTGCCTATTCTAATCACATGACTCCAAGTCTCAGTACATAAAAGAGCACTGCTTAGCATTATTCTTAATGTATTAGTAAAGATCATAAGAAATCCTTTAAGATAAAGTTATATATATATATATAAAGGAAAGGAAATTTGTATCTTAGAATGGATACACACTAAATATTGAATAATGAACAGTTAATATTTTAGGACACTTGGTATAGTGCCTTGCATAAAGAAAGAGACCACGAATGAGATTATCCTTTTGTATCATTTCACAGTTTTAAAAATTGCTATTGATTACAGTTCACATAGCAAGTTACTGATAAAATGTCTGTTTTCATAAAACATCTCCAACAACAACAACAAAGAAATCCTTAAAAGTTTAAATATCCAGAAAATAAAATAAAAATTTTAATAAAAAATTTTAAAAACTTTAAATGTCCCTGG